ATTAGAGCATGTATCTATACTTTACGAAGTAGAGTAAAAATATACTTGGTTTAGTATACGCGGCAATACTGCTTCGGCTTTCGGTGAGACCACATAACGAATTAATTTCAACCAACTTTTACTTGAAATGGAGAGTTATGCCACTATAGGTCCTACCCTTTTCATTCAACCGGGCCGGTAACTTTGTGACTCGACAGAACCCGGTCATTTCATGAATAAGTGAAATGAATAACTAGACAGAGCAAGTTACATTCCTCTATCGCGAACACAGCTGGTCAATATGACGGTTGATTCCTGTCGATTTATAGTTGCTGTATGGTTTTACTGCGTTCACCACACCAAACGATGACAGAACAACAAGAATCCGCCGTAAACTTCTGACGCTATTTCTGGTCTGGAGGAAGTAGGATCAGAAACACAGTGTATAACTGTAAAAGATGTACAAACTTTCTAAATTTGATGTAGCATTTGAAAGATCAATATGCACTTACAAATATAGATTGCACTCTTTCGACCGCTCATGTTGTCGATCAACGTGAGCCCAACATTCCACATTGGACAAGAGGCGACGCCCAGAATAACGTTGGAGAGGAATAGCAACGTGAAGGCCAACCACTTTTCACTGGACTGCTCCAACAACAACCCACGCAAATTGTGCCCCGCCTGAATTTGTTCCGGTGAGCAGATTAAAGTGTTAATCGGGTTGTAGGGTCGGATGGTAGTAGTGTTGCTTAGTTGGGTCAATTGTTTGGCCAGTAGTCCCGGAAAACTGGTCACTGTAGAATTGGGCAACAGTTGGTATGGCTGGTATTTTGGGCCGAAAAGCAAAAAAGGCGTGGTGAAGAGCATAGCTCCAAGGGCCAAGGCAACCGCGCTGGTACCGAGGGTCAGTGATTCTTTGCCTTGCCCACCATAATACGCAATGAAGAGGACACAGACGGCATAACCGAACTCATTGCCGCTCAGGATGACGCCAGTCTCGCGAGAGCGGAACGGAAAACGGCGCTCGAGGACCGTGATGATACCCGAAAGGTAGGTCTGGAAGGCACCGCAAGCCAGAGCATAGAGACTAAGAAAAAATATTGCAATCCGAGGGTCGTAGATGTAGAGGCAGCGAAGCCTCATCCTGGAGAGCTGAAGTGGTCAATGTCTACGAGCTAGACTGCACGAGGTGTTCCGACAGCTCTGAAATATTTTACACATCCTATCTGGTGAAGCCGTTGTATTAGCTCTAGATAAAATTTACTTTCTTCAATGGCATTGTCGAGCTGGCCAAGAGGTCTCCGGATTGAGTACCTCACCAATGATAAAATACTTTGGGCACAATGCTGATTGGTCCAATCTGACCGCTTCACGTATTGGTTTATTCCACTCGTCCAAACAGTTAACACCGGCAGGCTGGTTTTAGGGGATTGAAAAAAACGATGGCAAAATTTAGAGAAAAACGTTGACTTTCCATGTCCAATCGGATTTGGCTCTGCTTTCGACGCAAGCCTTTGCTTAATAATCATCATTATCTATCGTCGTTACTTTAAAAAGAAAGTTTGTAAATTTATGTTGGCATCCCTCAATGTTACAGAACTAGTGCAAATGATAGCCAATAAACCCATTTAAGGAAGGAAGTTTAGTGGTGGATAAATGCTAAAGAGTAAACTGCAGATGTTCTGCCATACAGATTTAGAGTAAGAGTTAAATGCAGTTTCGTCATGGCAAACCAGCGGGGGTAATAGGTTTCAAGAGTAGAATTAGATTTTCTGAGTCATGAATTAGCAAAATTTAGTGGAAAAGTCAAGCTTTTATTTTGTTTCAGCGCGTAGAGTCGCTGTACTTGCCAAATAAAAACTTGAAATTATTGTATATATGGAAAAGAAAAAGCAAGCTGCGATATAAACAATAAAAAAAATTCGAAAATATAAATACGAAGACG